ATTCTGGCTACGACACTGTTTCGTATTGAATAATTAAATGCTCAAATGTTAAAATTACAAGCTAGAAACACTTACTCATTATTAATCAGTTATTGAAAATTAAAGTGATTTTAAAGAACATGGATATTTCTCAATAGCGTTGTGTTATACTATCCCATTATTATACGCATTCTAATGTCGTGCTTTCGTCTGAATGAACAACACTTTAAATAAATCATACAATTTTAAGTCATACCTATAAAAATATTTTATGTGACTTACATATTATTATTACTACCAAAAAATGTATATTGAAGTGGTTTTTTTTTTAGTTCTGCATTGGCCTTCGTTCAGTGTACACCTACGCCGCGCATTGAGTTTCGCTTATCTAATCGCGTTTAGTAAAGTTATAGTTATAATTTTGTCTCTAATTCGCAAAATAAACTTGATTAACACTCAATTCGTAACAGATGCCGACATGCCGTWTCACTTATCCGAAGGTTGTCTGGCCAAAACCGGCTATTATATCATATAGCTTTATAAGGCAATTAAATAAATATTTAAATTCATATACATGTCTTCACCCGGCAATAGCAATAAAAAAAAAAACAAAATCTAACAATGTAATTACTCCGATTAAACTCGTTAATAAAAATATCACAAAGTCAGATTCAAGCTCTCTTCCGCTAAATGTTAATAATAACGATAATTGGGAAATTTAAAACTATAAATCAAGCAAGAGGAACTTATCTTCCACTACAGATACTTCCGATTCATCTCCAACATCTCAAATAATGAATACAAATAAACGCAAACCACTTTTTATCACAGCAAACCGATACCAACTCTTATCACCAAACGACAGTGAAGAGATATTTTTGTTACCCACTCAGAACSAAAAACAAACATCCACATGACGAAACTTCTTCCAAATCACCACCCCCAATCTTTATGAGAGGGATTACTGAGTATAACAGGTTCTGTACTGAACTAAGTCAACTTATTGGTAAAGACAATTTTTATTGTAAATCATCAACAGACCAACTAAAAATACAAACTGCTTCTCAAGAGGCATATAGAACATTAGTACATTACCTAAAAAATAATAATGCTCTTTTTCATACTTACCAACTTAATCAAGATTAATCTATTCAAGCTGTCATTCGAAATATTTATCCATCAACCACAGTCGATGAATTAAAAAAAGACCTTATAGATATTCCATTCGAAGTACAACAAGTAACTCAAGTACTTCGCAAAAATACCAAACTATTACTTCCGTTATTTTTCATTGACCTGCCTCAATCTGCAAAATCTACAGAAATATTCAAATTAACTTCACTCCTATACACAAAAATTAAGGTAGAAGAACCGTACAAACTTCACACAATTCCACAATGCTAAAATGTCAAGATTATGGCCATAATTAAACCATACCTTTWAAAAAAAAGTGATAACACGCTTGCTATCTCAGATTCTGATAAAGTGGAATTGTTTCAAAAACATCTGTCAAATATTTTCTAGCYACACTGACATTAATAGATCTCTATCACAGCAACCGAGTTAACGCATTTCTAAACTCTCCTCTTCCAGAAAGCCAACTAGAAAAATTTGTCACTCCAAACGAGGTAAAATTCGCAAYCTCAAAATACCCAAATAAAAAATCACCCGGATACGATCTAAAACAGGAGAAGTTGCTAGATGACTTCCAAAAAAAGCCATAGTATTTCTAACTTGCATAATAAATTCAATCATAAGACTTTCTTACTTTCCAATATTATGGAAATTTTCTCACATTAAACTCACTAAACTCGGTAAGGCACCCGATAACCCTGCCTCTTTCAGGCCAATAATTTATTATTCTCTTGCCCTTTTTCTCCAAAATCTGCGAAAAATKCATTCTTAAACGTTTATCCTGACACATCATCCTCAATAATATTCTCCCTCAATCTCAATTTGGTTTTTGATGCAAGCATAGCATAATTCACCAAGTTCACAGAGTCGTGGATGCTATCTCCTCCTCTATAGACAAAAAGACATCTCCCAAGCATTTGACAGGGTCTGGCACCAGGGTTTGTTATTTACACTCCGGAAATGCTTTCCTTTCGCAATTTTCCTGTTAATAAAATCATATCTAGACAATCGTCGTTTCCAAATTCGATACGGCTCAGTCTTCTCAAATATCTCAACAATAAAGACAGGCGTACCGTAGGATGGCATATTATCCCCTATATTATTTAATATTTTTGTCTCGCAGTATTATAATAATTTTAAATTTTTTTTATTTTTATTTTTATTAGCCTTCAGTCATCGACTATGATGGCTCATGAAAATAATTAATAACTTAAGTTATAATGCATTAAAATACATTTTTTTTATTATTTTACATATACGTCTCAACTATCGGGGTTATTGGCGTTTCAAAGTACATATTATAGTTTACTTAATTTTTATAAAATAATAAATTGTAAATTGGTGAAAAACTGATACAATAAGTTTTAAGAGAAATATGTTTACATTTTGTGTGATATTCTAAGTCTTGCTATTGCTATTATATTTTATGCAGAAGGTTGGTCTCTTTGAGAAATTCTTAAAGTGATGATGTTCTCTCTTTGTTTGGTGCAAGTATTTCACACAGATTGTTGGGGAGCATTAGTTTTTGTCTGGCGTCTTTTGTGAAGAAGTATTCAGTTAAAAGATGTTTTATAGTGATTGTGGTGTTACATAAGGTGCGTATCCGTAGTTCCTTTTTGTTCATTAAATGCTCATGAGTGTAAAATGTGAGGCCAATTCGTAGTCTGTCGATGGTGATTTGATGTCTGCGTGAGAGTGACATATCGTGCATCCAAAAGAGGATGGAGGATTTCATTTCTCTTAATTTGTTATTTTGTATTAATCTCTATTCTCGAATTAAAATAAAAGTTTGAAATATGTTCAAGCAAATTTGTCAAAGTCTTAAACTACCAAGTTGTAAAAATATACCATACTAAATACGTTGAAAATAAATTATATTTTTCACTTTCATTTCAGACTTTAGGGAATCACGAGTTTGACGACGGTATCGATAATCTTGTGTCTTACCTAGAAGGAATAAAAAATATACCAACAGTAGTATCCAACTTGAACACAACGGCAGAACCAAACTTGGATAAATATCTTTTGCCATCGTTAGTATTTACAATAAATAAAACTCAAGTGGGAATTGTTGGATATTTAACAACGGACACACCGGTAATTATTATTTAATTTACAATTATAATTTATCGGTAAATGATCAATAATATATTTATAGAAATTATTTGGTACCTATTATGTATATTGTATTGGTAATTATTTCAACTTTCATCATTGAAATATTTATTTACCTTAAAACATTATAATATTTATTTATTTTTTATATCTGGTTAGTTCTATATATTTTTATATCACTAATGATTCTAATTAGAGATAATACACTAAATTAATGCAGTATTTTTACAATTACGTTATTTGTGCATTTCACGTATTGAAAACTGTATATGGGATACCATATTACATTTTGTCAGAATCGCCTTATAAATTATAAGTAATATAATTATAGACAATAGGTAGTACTTCTGTATTTTTGTATTCCAGTTCTTACATGGTCAGATTAGGTTATGAATTAATTTACTTACCTATGTGTTTTATAATATAGGTACTTTAGATTATAAAGGATAAATGTTTATTTAGGGAAAACGCGAGTTGGGTCCCGAGATATTTGATMCCTTAAAAAAAAACACTAGTTGGGTCCGCGGTATTATTTGATAATACTCGAATTGGGTACACGGTAATATTATCAGTGCCGGTCGCACAGGCCTTCCACCGGCACTGAATATATTGTACTCGTATATTATTTTTATAAGACGTATAACACGATGCAATCAATGATGGACGATGTCCTTCTAATAAGGTTAGGTTGGTGGCAAAAAATTGAACAGCTTAGGCTATCAAAGGCGTATAAAAGTTCCAATAACGRTATAAGTGACTATCTTAAGTGTGTTTTTGGTTTACCATTTTTGAAACCAGAGGAGGTGTTTGATTGTTTTATTGATGACTTGATGACTATCAAACCTATAAATGCAACTGTCGATCAATTTTGCGATTATCTACTAAAAGTGTACATAGAGGCAGTGGCGGCGCTAGGCGTGGGCGGTGTGGGCCATTGCCCACGGCCTCACACCTCAAAGGGCCTCGCGTTCTATAGGGTTTTATAATTAACCATAGAGAAATATGACAGAAGTTAAAAAAWWTTTTAAAAGDGCCTCTTTAAGTCYACTTCGCCCACATGTAACTTTTACCTCGCCACGCCACTGCATAGAGGAAGATGCATTATTTCCACCGAATATTTGGGCCGAGTTTGCAGCAACCACAAATAGCTGTGAAAGTTGTCATGTAAAATTAAATGCTAGCATCAGTGCAGCTCACCCTAACATTTTTTTTTTAATTGAAATTTTACTAGGGATTCAAAGTGAAATTTACGTATCACTTCGGAGCTCAGCCACACAGCCAAATAAAAAAACTGCAGAAAAAGAAAAAAATTTAAGAGAAAAGATGCTTTCTTTTACYAGTGGAGAATTGAACAGGTTTAATTTTGTAAAAGAAGTGTTATTTAAATTTATTCCCTAGCATAAAAAAATTTATTACTAMWTAATATATAATATTTTTATTTTTTTAAATTAATCTAATTATTAATAATTTTTACGTCCGATCGTTACCTTCTAGCCAACCTCCAAGCGTGGTGTCTCATGGGTAACGCAAATAGGCTAGTCCCAAATCATGTATTCCATAAAATCAATGGTGAGTCAAGTTTATTTTATATCTTAACTTTAATTTTAATTTATTTTAGTTAATTATTTTCATTAACTTGCCTACCTTTGCATAAAATATACCGGGACCCAACTCGTGCTGTTTTTGAAATCTGGGACCTAACTCGAGTTTGCCCTTTATTTATATATTGAAGTATAATTGCTTGAGACGTYTTTCTGTAGGTAACTATATATTTAGGAAAGATATTCAAGCACCGGTTGACTTAAAGTAATTTAGGTAAAATATGTATCTGATCGTAATTTATAAGATGCGCCATAAGCATACGTTATGCTTTATACTTGTCACATTTTGGTTCGGTGTCTCTTCTCATTATTTATGAATGTATTTTAGTTACTCAACGAATATACGAATATGTAATTACTAATTACCTTGAAAATTAGGATCAGGCATACAAAATTCACACATTCATACATAATAAACATAGACGCCGGGCCCGAATTTGACTTCTGCTCATGATCAACCATATTATTGTAGTCTGTCCAATATTAAATGATACTAAATATCATATAAATGTAGATACTTAATATTTATTTTTCGTAAAATATGAGAACATTGTGTTATAGGAAAACTTGAATTAAACTTGAATTTAAGTTTTAACTTTTGTTTGAAATAAAACACGTAATAAGWCAWATAAGTCAAATATTTATAAATCTTATGTATATATGTATATACATGTTATATGTGGTCAGGTACAAACAGATTAGATGTCAAGTGTAACTCAAAAACAAATAACCTATTGAATCGTCACCAAAATATATATAAAAAATTTTTATCCAAACAAAAGTTTTTGAAAAAGTATACAATGTTCATTTTAAATAGTTCATACTGTTACGTACCTATAAAATATGTACGAGATATCACAAAATTGTGATATAAAATAAGTACCTATTAACTGTGACTAAAACTAATTAGCCATTAATATCAAAAGCAAGCACATCCTATTCAACAATAGGAACGTTGTGATATAAAATTGATTAAATTATAAAACTGTTTTCACACGTCTCTTCTCAGAAATGACTGTAGACCCGTGTGAAAGGATACGAAACGGTCAGCATATTAAGTTGAATCACAAGACTTAATGTTGACATGTAATAGGAAAGTCACCACCACTCCTAAGGACCAAATCATATATAACAAAGACGGGGACAAGAGCTCGTCAGACGGTTTTTAAAATGTAAGCTAGACGGTTTCTAAAATGTAAGCCAAAYGGTTCTTAAATTTGAACTAGACGGTTAGGGATATTTAAGACGCTTAGAGGCAGGTCGTAAAACCACTCATTGTCATTTAAAACAATATTTGAGAGTAAGGTCGTAACACCGCTCACCAACATCTTTATAGCATATAAACTGTATTTTTGTATCAAGTTTTAATAAATTGTTAAAATAAAGACATTATTACATTGTATACATCAGTATTTCATCTCTACGTTGATGTATGAATCGACGTTCAGTCGGGACGTAACAATACTGATAAAAAAATATAGAATATAAAATAATATAAGTATTTTTTAATTATATTTGAATAAAAAATATTGACAACATTAAATATTTAAAAATGAACAATTATTTTAATTATTTTGTAACAATTCAAAAATATACTTACGTAAGTATTTTTAATTTATAATATTATATTTCATATACACACAATTATTCTATTTTCAATGCAATTTTTCACTAAAATTTAATTCAACCTGCCAATTGCCATATTCAAGTATTCTTAATACTAAAATTTATTATCTACTTAAATAGGGATCTAAATATTAAATATTTAAATGTATCATAAAATTATAGGCTGACAGATAGTCTTCACTCAGAATTATTTTTCGAAGGAAGCAATAATTTATTATTGAATTCAAATTTAATACATACTTTGCAGTGACTTATTCAATTATGACGTACACTTGACACCTTTTATTCCCATTTATTTTTATAAATAATATAAAGCAATGAGAATTTTCAATTTTTACATACCGAAATTATCAGCTAGATTCAATTTTCTACTAAACCTCTCTCAATGGTTATTTTATTAGAAAAAGCGTATCATTCACTCCATTCAAAACCTAAAAGAGTAGAGTAACAAATAAATTTAAGATATTAAAAACTTAAGGTAAGTTTTCAGTGTTTGCAGAGGATGATAAGCATCGCATACTATATAATAATATCTAATATGTAGAATGTTAAATAATAAATTCAATAATTAGTTTGGAAATATGCTAAATTCGTCAATTTGAGTGCCTAAAGGCAATTCACTAAAAAATCTGATTTTCTATCAACGTTTCAACTTCTCCATTGTTGAAGTTATTTTCTCTAACAATGTCATTCTATTTAAAACTGTTCTAAACATCATCCACCATATTTATGTTAAAATGTAAAAAGTACGTATGCTTAAATACTCGTATAAATATATTTGCTAAACATTATTTAATAAAAAAATGTAAAAAAGATTACTATATTCGATAATAGCTTAGCTATACTTAACCCTCAAATAACTATAAGTACCAACAATAAACTATATTGTGCTTATCATAATCATACATAACATTATTTTAGACTATATCCAAAACCGGAGCAGTTGAATTTTTTGACGAAGTTGAGTCTTTAAAAAAGGAAACAAAAAAATTACGAGCTAATGGTGTCAACATAATTATTGGTCTCGGGCATAGTGGTATAGAAAAAGATAAAATAATTGCCAGGGAAGTGGAAGACATCGATATAATTGTTGGTGGACATTCGCATACGTTTCTGTACACCAGTAAGCATATACGTGTACATATTACATATATATGTATATTATTGTATATATTACGGCTAATCGCTAATGTTAACATCATTTGGATTAAGTCGACATTACCCGGATAATGTAGACATTAACCATTCGTTTTGGCTAATTCGTAATTTTTCGTTTATTAACATGAAATATCAACATTATCCGGATAATGTTAACTTTAACCAGTCAATATTGGATAATGTTAAAAGTTATATATTAAATAGAGTTGTTAGCATTCTATACAATAATAAAGCGTTGGATTGCCAGAGTATAATATCTTACATCTTTTATCTTAAATTGTTTTCATTAACAATTTAAATATTTAAATATATGAATATCATTTTTTTTTTTCATAATAAATATAAAACATCTAAAATACAACAAATTCATAAATATATTATGTACTATTTATAATACCTATACTCTCTGCTGTTGAATCTACTGGTTAGCAGAAAAATTTTTGTGGGTTATGATGAAAATTATTTTATTTTTTTTTTATTCCTTTATGCAATCAATTTATTTTTCAGACACTCCACCCAGCATTGAAAAACCTTATGGACCATATCCACTATACGTGACAAATGTTAAAAATAAGACCGTGCCAATAGTACAGGCCTACGCAAATACCAAATACGTTGGAAAATTAGTTTTAAAATTTGATTCTAATGGTGACTTAATTAATATCGACGGTACACCAACATTATTAAATCATGAAGCAAAACAAGGTTATAATCCTATTTTTGTTTATACACATATTAAAAAAAAAAAATTGTTTTTGTGATTTTTGACTTAAAACATTGTATTATAATATGATGTAGATCCAGAAATGTTGACCGTGGTTGATTACTGGAAATCTAAGGTATCCAATGTTACAAATGTTACAATCGGACGTACGGCTGTTGAGTTGATAAACAGTTGTCACCAAATGGAATGCAACATAGGTAACCTGATAGCTGATTCCTTCGTTTATTATGTGAGTAATAATGAACTTGAAATTAAATTTTTCTTGATAATTAACTGGCTTTTAGAATATTCTGAAAAAAGAAAAGTATAATGAGTATTGGACTGATGCTCCTATTGGGATCGTTCAAGCTGGCGGTATTCGGACTACAATCAACGAAACTGATCACGATGGTTATTATTTATATTACATTATACCTATAATTATAACGTCATTATAATGTATTTACTATTCTTAAAGATTATTTTCAATTCATTTTTTATTTCAATTATGAATTGATATCTATCTATTTATAAGTTATATACGGTATATAGGTATCAGGTACGTAAACGTAAATATCAATGACATTACTATTTAATTACTTTTCTTAGTAGGAAGGTACCTAAATGAAACCAATGAAAAAGTTATTTCAATATTTTGTTTTGTTACATTCTAC